GGTCTTCCAAATACCGTTTCGATTCCTAACATCACTAAAGAGACATTATTTGTCGAAATCCGGATATGGTGTACTAATTTTTGCACCTTTTGTTTGCGGTAAATCATCTTTTCCGCAAGTTTATTGTTTTCTGTGTGGTATTAAATTAATAATTAGATCCATTTTGTTACATCTGGAGATCCGTTTATTTGGCAATCGCCATTGGCAGTCAGCAGGGTTTAAGAACATCCGTTGTTCGACCTGCTAGTCAAATGCGTTTTGTTAAAATATACTTTTTCACTTTTTTGGTCTTTTAGAAAATGTTGTTTGTGCTGTATTTACACCCCTCTACCCAGAAATTTGTATGCATGCACACGTATAAAAATTGCGGTTTTTATCCAACGCAATCATAGGTTTGAACGTTGTTTTCAATTCAGACTTATTTATATTTTTTCGATTTGGCTTGTATTATATTTGCCTTCGGGTTTATATGATCCGTTCATCCTATTTCGACTCTTTAACATTCAAGAGTCTATCCTAAATTGAGGTAAATTATATGGCCTTCCAAATACCGTTTCGATTCCTAACATCACTGAAGAGACATTAAGTATCGAAATCCGGATATGGTGTACAAATTTGTGCACCTCATGTTTGCAGTATACCATCTTTTCCGCAAGTTTATTGTTTTCTGTTTGGTATTATTGAATTAATACATTAAATAAAGATCCATTTTGTTACATCTTGTGATCCGTTTATTTGGCAATCGCCAATGGCAGTCAGCAGGGTTTAATAACATCCGTTGTTCGACCTGTTAGTCAAATGCGTTTTGTTTAAATATGTTGTTTGTGCTGTATATATATATATATATATAAATAAGTCTAAATTGAAAACAACGTTCAAACCTATGATTGCGTTGGATAAAAACCGCAATTTTTATACGTGTGCATGCAAAACAAATTTCTTGGTAGAGGGGTCTAAATACAGCACAAACAACATTTTCCAAAAGACCAAAAAAGTATATATATATATATAAAAGACCAAAAAAGTGAAAAAGTATATTTTAACAAAACGCATTTGACTAACAGGTCGAACAACAAATGTTCTTAAACCCTGCTGACTGCCATTGGCGATTGCCAAATAAACGGATCACCGATGTAATAAATGGATCTTAATTATAAATTAAATACTAAACAGAAAACAATAAACTTGCGCAAAAGATGGTATACCGCAAACAAAAGGTGCAAAGGTTTTTGTACACCATATCCGGATCTCGACAATTAATGTCTCTTCAGTGATGTTAGGAATCGAAATGGTATTTGGAAAGCCATACAATTTACCTCAATTTGGGATAGACTCTTGAATTTTGAGGAGTCAAATTAGGATGAACGGATCATATAAACCCGAAGGCAAATATAATACAAGCCCAAACGAAAAAATATAAACAAGTCTAAATTGAAAACAACGTTCAAACCTATGATTGCGTTGGATAAAAACCGCAATTTTTATACGTGTGCATGCAAAACAAATTTCTTGTTAGAGGGGTCTAAATACAGCACAAACAACATTTTCCAAAAGACCAAAAAAGTGAAAAAGGATATTTTAACAAAACGCATTTGACTAACAGGTCGAACAACAAATGTTCTTAAACCCTGCTGACTGCCATTGGCGATTGCCAAATAAACGGATCACCGATGTAATAAATGGATATTAATTATAAATTAAATACTAAACAGAAAACAATAAACTTGCGCAAAAGATGGTATACCGCAAAAAAAAGGTGCAAAGGTTTTTGTACACCATATCCGGATTTCGACAATTAATGTCTCTTCAGTGATGTTAGGAATCGAAACGGTATTTGGAAAGCCATACAATTTACCCCAATTTGGGATAGACTCTTGAATTTTGAGGAGTCAAAATAGGATGAACGGATCATATAAACCCGAAGGCAAATATAATACAAGCCCAAACGAAAAAATATAAACAAGTCTAAATTGAAAACAACGTTCAAACCTATGATTGCGTTGGATAAAAACCGCAATTTTTATACGTGTGCATGCAAAACAAATTTCTTGTTAGAGGGATCTAAATACAGCACAAACAACATTTTCCAAAAGACCAAAAAAGTGAAAAAGTATATTTTAACAAAACGTATTTGACTAACAGGTCGAACAACAAATGTTCTTAAACCCTGCTGACTGCCATTGGCGATTGCCAAATAAACGGATCACCGATGTAATAAATGGATCTTAATTATAAATTAAATACTAAACAGAAAACAATAAACTTGCGCAAAAGATGGTATACCGCAAACAAAAGGTGCAAAGGTTTTTGTACACCATATCCGGATTTCGACAATTAACGTCTCTTCAGTGATGTTAGGAATCGAAACGGTATTTGGAAAGCCATACAATTTACCTCAATTTGGGATAGACTCTTGAATTTTGAGGAGTCAAAATAGGATGAACGGATCATATAAACCCGAAGGCAAATATAATACAAGCCCAAACGAAAAAATATAAACAAGTCTAAATTGAAAACAACGTTCAAACCTATGATTGCGTTGGATAAAAACCGCAATTTTTATACGTGTGCATGCAAAACAAATTTCTTGTTAGAGGGGTCTAAATACAGCACAAACAACATTTTCCAAAAGACCAAAAAAGTGAAAAAGTATATTTTAACAAAACGCATTTGACTAACAGGTCAAATAACAAATGTTCTTAAACCCTGCTGACTGCCATTGGCGATTGCCAAATAAACGGATCACCGATGTAATAAATGGATCTTAATTATAAATTAAATACTAAACAGAAAACAATAAACTTGCGCAAAAGATGGTATACCGCAAACAAAAGGTGCAAAGGTTTTTGTACACCATATCCGGATTTCGACAATTAATGTCTCTTCAGTGATGTTAGGAATCGAAACGGTATTTGGAAAGCCATACAATTTACCTCAATTTGGGATAGACTCTTGAATTTTGAGGAGTCAAAATAGGATGAACGGATCATATAAACCCGAAGGCAAATATAATACAAGCCCAAACGAAAAAATATAAACAAGTCTAAATTGAAAACAACGTTCAAACCTATGATTGCGTTGGATAAAAACCGCAATTTTTATACGTGTGCATGCAAAACAAATTTCTTGTTAGAGGGGTCTAAATACAGCACAAACAACATTTTCCAAAAGACTAAAAAGGGAAAAAGTATATTTTAACAAAACGCATTTGACTAACAGGTCGAACAACAAATGTTCTTAAACCCTGCTGACTGCCATTGGCGATTGCCAAATAAACGGATCACCGATGTAATAAATGGATCTTAATTATAAATTAAATACTAAACAGAAAACAATAAACTTGCGCAAAAGATGGTATACCGCAAACAAAAGGTGCAAAGGTTTTTGTACACCATATCCGGATTTCGACAATTAATGTCTCTTCAGTGATGTTAGGAATCGAAACGGTATTTGGAAAGCCATACAATTTACCTCAATTTGGGATAGACTCTTGAATTTTGAGGAGTCAGAACAGGATGAACGGATCATATAAACCCGAAGGCAAATATAATACAAGCCCAAACGAAAAAATATAAACAAGTCTAAATTGAAAACATAGTTCAAACCTATGATTGCGTTGGATAAAAACCGCAATTTTTATACGTGTGCATGCAAAACAAATTTCTTGTTAGAGGGGTCTAAATACAGCACAAACAACATTTTCCAAAAGACCAAAAAAGTGAAAAAGTATATTTTAACAAAACATTTATTACATCGGTGATCCGTTTATTTGGCAATCGCCAATGGCAGTCAGCAGGGTTTAAGAACATTTGTTGTTCGACCTGTTAGTCAAATGCGTTTTGTTAAAATATACTTTTTCACTTTTTTGGTCTTTTGGAAAATGTTGTTTGTGCTGTATTTAGATCCCTCTTACAAGAAATTTGTTTTGCATGCACACGTATAAAAATTGCGGTTTTTATCCAACGCAATCGTAGATTTGAACGTTGTTTTCAATTAAGACTTGTTTATATTTTTTCGTTTGGGCTTGTATTATATTTGCCTTCGGGTTTATATGATCCGTTCATCCTATTTTGACTCCTCAAAATTCAAGAGTCTATCCCAAATTGAGGTAAATTGTATGGCTTTCCAAATACCGTTTCGATTCCTAACATCACTGAAGAGACATTAATTGTCGAAATCCGGATATGGTGTACAAAAACTTTTGCACCTTTTGTTTGCGGTATACCATCTTTTGCGCAAGTTTATTGTTTTCTGTTTAGTATTTTATTTATAATTAAGATCCATTTATTACATCGGTGATCCGTTTATTTGGCAATCGCCAATGGCAGTTAGCAGGGTTTAAGAACATTTGTTGTTCGACCTGTTAGTCAAATACGTTTTGTTAAAATATACTTTTTCACTTATTTGGTCTTTTGGAAAATATTGTTTGTGCTGTATTTAGACCCCTCTAACAAGAACTTTGTTTTGCATGCACACGTATAAAAATTGCGGTTTTTATCCAACGCAATCATAGGTTTGAACGTTGTTTTCAATTTAGACTTGTTTATATATATATATATATATATCAATAACAAATATCTTTGAAAAGACATTGTTCTTTTCTTTGTGGCTTGTCTTATCTCTTTTTATTAAAATTAGTTAACAGTACTTAAAAGACCACAAATTAAAAGAAATTAACATATTCTAGATTGATCTTCAAATGGTGTGGGGGGGGGGGGGGGGGGCACTGGTTTTACATTGTTCCTCTGTAATTAATCATCCACTTGAAACATTTTATTGCTGAAATTCATTTTCTTATGCGAAAAATCAAAACAAACATACAAATTTATCATTTTCTCCATATCAAATGAGAGGGAAACGATACAAAAGATATTAATCAAATTCATAAATCGAAAAGAAACTGACAATGCTATGGCAAAAAAAACCCCACCAAAGGACCATTAACAGTACACAAAACACAACATATAAAAAATAAAGAGTGAACAAAATATCGAAACTAGTTGATTAATATAAAGGTCTTTATTCCGTAAATACTTTTTATAACATAGACTCCGATATTTTTTTGGAACTAAAATAAATATCATATTACATGTTCCTACCCCTACTCATTTCATCTTCCTAACTTAAGGAAACATTGGTCGTCAAGTAAATTTTCCTGTGGTTACCGTAATTAAATATTTGTAATATTTAGATTCAGAGATGCAAGCAAATAGATATTGGAAATTCTTACGCTGAAAAAAAGTTTATCTGCAGTTAGACAAAATCAGTCGCGAGGACTGTTCGGTCCGTGACATGTTTTGTTTTCATCAATTTTAGCATACGGCCAATCAACGTATTTACTGACAAATATCCCAGAAACACGTGTTAAATGAAAATAGATCTAAATAAGAACCGGCATAACTACTGGAGAAATGTTATTTCCGAGAGTAACGCAACCTAATAAATAGATAAATATTTTGATTCACGTTAGTGAAATATTCGTTTTAAAAATTATAGTTTTAGATTATATAATTATTCATACATATGTTGTTCACGTATTACCAGTGATACTCAAAAGGTATGGTTGTGTGGTATGGTCTATGACAGTGCTGTTGTCGAATAGGCATTACACTAAATGAGTTAAAGTAATCATCAAGGATTTATGTATGAATTAAATAAGTTTCATGAATATGTACCTTACCGAATAAGTACATAGCATTTGTATTCATTATGATGCAAATAATGTATTGTACAAGTCAAGAAAAAGGTCTGATTTAAATCGTTTTGTCAAATATAACAAGCCTTTTCCCCAAAATATTTAATTTAGAAACAATCGAATTATGTAATTTGACACAACCTATTTCGAACCCATGACCATCCGAATTCGAGGCGTGCAAATTGCTACAATCCCACCGAAGCGGTAGTAACATCGGTAGTTTCTGTGAGATACTATATATAATTTGAGAATTATAGGTTTGCAGTTCTTAAACATTTTAAATTTGGCACTGGTTTTACATTGTTCCTCTCTAATTAATCATCCACTTGTCATGGCTTCGAGAAACAATAGAACTTCAATTGTCTCAAAAAAATTTGTGTTCAGACTGGTCAGTCGATGTTTTTTACCTGTACACATGAACATCATACTGAGTTGTCTGAAAAACTACTGAACAGTACCGAATTGACCTCAGTGGATAAGTCTGATATTTGACTGAGAAACTGAATATGACTGCATTATTTATAGTCCAGATTTTACAGATGATATTATAATCAAAATGACCGTCTAAGACTAAAATTTATTTACTAGTGGTGAATACGACCTTCAGCTAATGTCGTGAATACTTTGTGTGTTTGCTGGGTTATCATTGATAAAGTTCAAAATTTATTTTTTATCAAACGCTGCGACTAGTTTTGGTTAGAACATACCGGGAAAACGTTCTGTAAATATATTTAAATAAATCATTTTGCTTGCTTCACTTATGGTTGAAACATTTAATTGCTGAAATTCATTTTCTTATGCGAACAAATCAATACAAACATAAATATATCATTTTCTCCATATCATATGAGAGGGGACCGATACAAAAGAAATATTCAAATTCATAAGTCGAAAACAAACTGACTGAACAAAATATCGAATCTAGTTTATTAATATAAAGGTCTTTATTCCGTAAATACTTTTTATAACATTGACTCCGATGGTTTTTTGGAACTAAAATAAATATCATATTACATGTACCTACTCCTACTCATTTCATCTTCCTTACTTAAGGAAACATTGGTCGTCAAGTAAATTTTCCTGTGGTTACCGTGATTAAATGTTTGTAATATTTAGATTCAGAGATGCAAGCAAATAGATATTGGAAATTTTTACGCTGAAAAAAAGTTTATCTGCAGTTAGACAAAATCAGACGCGAGGACTGTTCGGTCCGTGACATGTTTTGTTTCCATCAATTTTAGCATACGGCAATCATCGTATTTACTGACAAATATCCCAGAAACACGTATTAAATGAAAATAGATCTAAATAAGAACCGGCATAACTACTGGAGAAATGTTATTTCCGAGAGTAATGCAATCTAATAAATAGATAAATATTTTGATCCACGTTAGTGAAATATTCATTTTAAAAATTGTAGTTTTAGATTATATAATTATTCATACATATGTTATTCACGTATTACCAGTGATACTCAAAAGGTATGGTTGTGTGGTATGGTCTATGACAGTGCTGTTGTCGAATAGGCATTTCACTAAATGAGTTAAAGTAATCATCAAGGATTTATGTATGAATTAAATATGTTTCATGAATATGTACCTTACCGAATAAATACATAGCATTTGTATTCGTTATGTTGCAAATAATGTATTGCACAAGTCAAGAAAAAGGTCTGATTTAAATCGTTTGGTCAAATATAACAAGCCTTTTCTTCAAAATATTTAATTTAGAAACAATCGAATTATGTAGTTTGACACAACCTATTTCGAACCCATGACCATCCGAATTCGAGGCGTGCAAATTACCACAATCCCACCGAGGCGGTAGTAAAATCGGTAGTTTTTGTGAGATACTATATATAATTCGATAATTATAGGTTTGCAGTTCTCAAAACAATTACCGGAATTAATAAAGGGCACAATTTTGGTTTTCTTTTCATTGACAATCAAGTTTTGACTGAAGAGTACACTAAATGGATAGAGAGGCAGTATACAAAGTCTATATCGTTTGACTGTGTAATCTCAACTCAATATGATAACGTATTACATAACAATAGAACAACGTTAACAAAGGAAATAGTGACGTTAATAATGGTTAAATAGAAGGGCGCTTAAAGTAATGTAAAAGTTTGAAACAAATTAAACTGTCTCTAAAATATGAAAACAACACGTTATTAATGTCATGCGTCCGAATCGCTTTTCTGGATTTACCTTCATCAGGAATGCTCAAAGCCGAATATTTGAAAGCCGACGATGTATAAGAACCGAAACAGTTGAAGAGCTAAATCAGCAAGATACTCGGGGCCACCAGATGTAATGTGTTCACTATCTGTGATGTATTGTGCCATGCAGAATGAACTAAAATAGTTTTATCTCATAAATAAAAAAAATATAAAATTTGCATTTTACGTTAACACTGATTGAATTTGACAGTCTTTTCACACATGAGAAAAAATTAAACTTCTGTTCACACACGTAATTGTCTTCGTTCACTTGGTCTCAGTAAACAGTCCATGCTGTTGACTTCTAATGGGTAGAGTTTCGTCACAGGTCGATTTGTTATTCTTGAACTGGTACGCACCATAGAAACGCGTACTAAACCGTCCTTGCCCTTAACAGTGTCCTGAACAACTACTTTTCGATGCACGCATTTTGATTCTTCGTGTATCTGAACGACATCGCCTTTTTTAATCTTCCAAATATCGACTTCCTTACTCTGGTGAAATTCTTGCAATGAAGTATGGTGTTCTCCTTTCCATCTTGTCCACAAATCCTCAATCAATTGTGTTTGTCGCAAAGCTTTGCAGTTTAGGTTTGTGTGCGTAAATTAAAAAATATTTAGATTTTCACTGTTTGACGACACATACGCCATAAGATGGGACGGTGTAAACGGCTCCAGATCTCGGATATCTGTAAAAATATATGTGAGTGATCGGTCATTGAGTTCTTAGAGTCTCATTGCTGACATGTGCACGTCATAATATTTTTCAAGTGATGTTTTTTGTCAAGTCAATCATCTTTTCCCACAGGCCCTGAACCATGGAGTTCTATTTAGTTTAAACAATATTTATTCAGATAAAATCATCACATAACGATATAATACAAATGAAATAAATATTTATAACCCAGAAATAAGCAAATTTGCTTTTACAAATCTGTCTCCTAGTGCACAAATAGAACACTTATTGAACATTATACATAAATATAAATACTGGCATGCTCTGCAATAAATATCTAAATACATGGAATATGAAAGGTAAAAAATACAATAGAGAAAAAAAAAAAGAATAAGCAGGAATTTTTGTAATGTATACAGTGTGAAATGCTAGAGTTCTTATTGAATGACGAAACAGTTACATCAAGGGTTAAACGTTTGCTTTTTATTATGTATTTCTGCACCAAACTAAATACATGACTATTTTGCTCATCTGAGAGTATCGTTGAGCCAATAAACAAACATTTGCATGTATCTTGGCATTGCACAAGGTCATGTTTTTCTCTGACTGTTTATGACTTCTTTACACTAAATCCATCTGATGTTGGATGTATACGGATTGATAATTTAGTCTTAGATGCATTATTTTTTATTAGTTGTTAGTGGCTTTAAACTAGCTGTCAGTAACTGCTAGTACTATCAGATCTGTACTTAGTGTCTTTTTGTTGTTTGGATGTACAAATACCCGGCCACATCCACTTGTATTTGTAGTATTTGTATTTTTATCCATCTGATGAGTTAAGCCTCTTTCAACTGATTTTTATAGTTCGTTCTTATGTTGTACTGTTACACCACTGTCCCAGGTTAGGGGGAGGGTTGGGATCCCGCTAACATGTTTAACCCCGCCACATTCTGTATGTATGTGTCTGTCCCAAGTCAGGAGCCTGTAATTCAGTGGTTGTCGTTTGTTTATGTGTTACATATTTGTTATTCGTTCATTTTTTGTACATAGATTAGGCCGTTAGATTTCTCGTTTGAATTGTTTTGCATTGTCATTTCGGGGCCTTTTATAGCTGACTGTGCGGTATGTGCTTTGCTCATTGTTGAAGGCCGTACGGTGACCTATAGTTGTTAATTGCTGTGTCATTTGGTCTCTTGTGGAGAGTTGTCTTATTGGCAATCATACCACATCTTCTTTTTTATATTTTGTGTCGACTTGAACAGGAAGAACTGAAACAGAAGCCAAAAGTTCATGTCTTAAATCGGTGTATATGGAACAAGATAACAGGGAGTGAAAATTTGTTTCTTCATCACCACAAGGACAGTTTAGGGAATCTACTAAGAAGGAATAGGTGAAATTTCAATGAACTTGAATCCATTCTTAAGCGAGCATGAAGAATTTGACCAAGACGATATCCTACATAGTAATAACTTGGGATCGTACTGTTTTGTATGGAACGCCGAAGCTGTCGTATGGTGTAAATATTTAATGTGTTTTGTCGCTTTGTCTTTACGTCCTGACATTTCTTCTTTATACTATGTGTAATTGCCTTTATTTGCTGACACTGCATCTCTGTGTTATGTCAAATTAATTATTTGTTTTGTCAAACAATTGTATGATATGTCATTGCTATTCTTTGTTATGTGCAATATGCATTACATTATGTTGTAACTACTGTATATTCTGTGAATACTTCTTAACTTTATGATCAACCACCTTTACGTTCTTTCATATTTCCACTTTGTTGTGTCTGCTCTTCCTTTAAGTATGTTAATTAATAATTGCGTCCTGTTTTAAATGGGATTGATATGTTGAATGTTCTAAACGTTTTGATTTGATACATCTTTGTTCTATGACAATTTCATGATATTATATTCTAATGGCTTTTTATTGTGTTTATACATATGTAATTTCTGTGAAAAATATAATATGTCATGGTATAATTTATATGCGTTTTACCAAACATTTGATACTTTCTGTTAACATTCAAGATGTCAAATGAATCTACTGGTACGTTATGTGCAAACTTGTGTTACATTATTTGCAAAGACCTATTAAGTTATGTGCAAGTACCTTTTACATTATGTGCAAACACCTATTACGTTGTGTATGTGCTAACACCTATTGCATTATGTGCAAACACTTATTACATTACGTGCAAACACCTATTACGTTAATGGTAAACACCTATTATGTTATGTGCAAACACATATTACGTTATGGTAGACGCCTTTTTAACACAGACGAAAACAAAACGCGCGTTCGCTGCTTAATGATAATGCATCAATGATATATTTATATTTACAGTAATAGAAAATTAAGGAAATCAAAAGAATGTTTAATGTTAAAAACAAAATTTAACCGCATTTCTTTACGGAGTATGTGAATTCTAGAATATAGTACCCATTCATATATTCCTCAGATATCACATATTCATTTTATTAGATTTTAACTTGAATGGAGAATAAATTGATGCTCTCTTTCACGTCCGCCATGCAACCGGGTCATTATATAGGTCTCTATAGTCTGCATACATACTAAATACATATGGTTTTGGAAGGTGGCTTATATATATATATATAAATTTATACTAACTGCGCCTTAAATTCATAAAACATGTTCATATACGTGTATATGCATATTATGTGTAGCCTTTATACCTTCATTCTTCAATATGGTTTTAGTATTACTGTTAAACATTGTCACGCGGAGGTGGGGGGGGGGGGGGTGGGGGGATCCTTAACATGAGTTTTTGAGTACAGATGTGCAGCCGGGATTTCAAAAATACCCCCATTATTATATTGTGATCTTGTGAAACCACATCCCATGAAAATATTTCATGGCAAAATCAGTACCCATTCATATATTCCTCAGATATCACATATTCATTTTATTAGATACAACTTGATTTTAAACGATACATCAAGATTTATACAAAAATCTAATAGAATGATAGAAATTACTGACCCATTGACATATTACCTTGGTGAAATCGCAACCCATTGATATATTTGACGTATCAAAAAAGTGACCCATTCCAACGTCACATATGTATATACCTTCATATAGGAAGAGACCCCCCCCCCGTTAACATTTTGGCGAGTTATTATATGAACTATGACGAACAGGTCGACTAATTAACTTTATAGTATAAAAGCAAAATAAACAACTAAAAACAACCAAAAACAAGTTGAAAAGAAAAAATAACCAAAGCAAAAAAAAAAAAAAAAACCAACCAAAAACAAATGATAGTTCCTAATGAAATGTAAATTATTTACTAATAGATATTTCTTGATTTCATGATATAAATTTTATCATAATGTTCACCTTGTGTCGTGCGTGATATAATTATAAAATTGAAGCATATTTTGATAAAAATTTAGAATATCGGTCCACTTTTTGAAAGATTTCTCGGTAAAATCCTACTTTTAATTTTGGATGTCTACACTTTATCCTGGTAAATGTTTTGCGGTAGTTTCCAAGAAGTGCAGCCGGAAGGAAAAATAACAATACCCATTGTTTCTCCCGACTGCACCCCGGACTAGAAATATAACGGGTGTAAGGGTAATTTAGTATTTAAGATTATTGTTTATTGGCGCCTATATGGTCCCTAAATTACCCTCCCGGTAGGCTATTCTAGCAAGAAACGTGTGCCAGTTTAATGCTACCAATGTATTGTCGTCTCCCACGATTGATGTAGCTGATAAGGAATCCTTTAAAGAATTTAGATTTTATTGCCGTTCATTTCCCATAACAGTCGTGCATATTATTCTGAATAACATTCCAAAGACATACTGGTATTTAGTGATTTCTCCGTCCCAGACGAGAAAAAAAAATTTCTGTCACCAGTGGCGTATTGGAAAGGGGCCAGGTGGCCCTCCCCCTCTTATCTGGGAGTTTGTTTTCAAATTAAAAGGGCTTTTTGGCAAAATTTGGTCCGAGCACTAACCCCCTCCCCGGCCCCTCGTCCTATCCAACTCCTTATAGAACCAAAATATGTAGCGCCCTCCCCTTTTTAAAAATTCTGGTTCCGCCACTGGTCATTGACTGAGAAATCACCCATACCTACACCCTTTATCGCCTATTTAAATATATATACATGTGATAAATATAAAAACCAAAAAAAAAAAAAAAAAAAAGATATAAGGATGTTCGCTTCTCAGTTTCAAAATAACAAGCTTTTCATTACCTGCTATTTATTGATAGGGGATTGATAAAGGAGCAAAAAGAGACAAAAATATATAGGTCCGTATGTTTGTTTTGGAGATATTAGCCAATGAAATGTTGGCAGGTAAAATGTTCTCTCTTCATTTTCATATCTTATATCTTTATCATTGACACGTTTTAGTTCTCAAAAAGTATTAAAATATAACATTGATTTTATATTTTTTTACAAATGGCTTATTATCCTTATTATATTTTGATACTTTTTTGACAACTAAAACGTATCAATGATATATTGTACACGTAAAAAACTTTTAAAAAGAAAACTTGGAGTTATGGCACTTAAACGGATAAAACAAGAGGATTCCGAAATTCTAACAAAATTTCCAAAACATGGCAAGCGATTATCCTTAATTTATAATCAGTAGCAAGAAAAGGAAATAAGAACTTTATCTTTCCTTTTCGTCTATAGAATCTGTCTCAGTCTTCTTTTCGTTAGATAGATGCATGTTTTTAAAGAATTTTTCCAAAATATTTCGTTGATTTCAAAGCGATCCAGATTTCATAAATTTAAGAGGGATTCCGCCTTTTTAGGATAATTTTGGATTGAATTATATGGACTAAATACCGCGCTAGCAATTCTTTAACGGCAACCGAGAAGGGGGGGGGGGGGGGGACCGAAATTTCTAAAAGTTCGCAATATTTAACGGAAACTGTCAAAACAATGTATATTTTAGAATGAATACATGTAGATCCAATAGAATATATTTGTATGAAATTTATAATTATCAGATTTCTCAGATGTGCAGC